AAAGCATTTATCAGACTTACAAAATACTCATGGACTATTTTGTCAACTTCAAAATCTATTAGGAGGTTTTTTCAACATTATATTCTTCTGTTTCAGCTTTTATTTGGGGAAGAAATGGTGTTGCGCGTATATTTTCAAAGCGCCTAAACAGTCACGTTCCGTATCTTGAATTTTCTAAGCTAGCGTGCTCTTTGGGGAGCAAAGAATTCTAAGCCAAGAGACATCTCTGTCCATTACTTGGGCACTCGCAGGCTGTGAACAGTAGTTCCTAAATGACCAAATCAATGATACTTTTCCATCCTGGTTGGGCTCACTTGTCGTCGTGCCGATCTTGGCAAGCTAACAGATTCCACGGGGTGATTTGGGGAACTTGTAAGCAACTCTACTTTCCCAAGGCTTCAGATCATCGACCTATCCCAGAACAATTGCCTGTAGCTTGCCATCTAAGTACCTTGAGCGTTCGATTGCCATGAAAGTTGCAGCGGCAGATCGAGCGGACTATTTTGGGCAACACTGATCTGTAAATCATAAATGCCATCAAGAACCTCTGTCACAGGCTCTGCCCACGATACACGACCCTGCAACTACTCTATGATAATGACAAACAAAGGCTCCCGCAACTAAAGTAACCAAGGATCTACGAATATCTCACATTCATCGATCTTTCAAGCAACAGTTTCACAATACACACGGTGGGCATTGGGTCAGCAAATCCAAGAGTGAACACGTGACCTTGAAGTTGCCACCCATTAGAAATTTAATAATTATAAATCATCCACATAATATAGATCAATATAGTTTCATTATTTGTGGAAAAAATTTAAAAAACAGTTGCTCAAAGCAGATATTTGAAACTGTCCGCAACGCAACACGAAACTTTAAAATCTCACTCCGACTAAACTGTTACTCTAAATGACCAGCCTCCATTACATTTCAAGACTGAAAGAGATTTCATAAGGTCCTAATCTATCATTTCCATATAATTTCACATCTTAACAGCTCTTAAATTGGATCCCGCAATCCAAATATCACATAAATTTAAATTTATGATCTAATTTCAATAATTATTTTGATTAGATGAATAAAAGACTTGAGTTTTACGGGTGTTACGAAACAAAGTTAATCCGCCCCGACGAAAACTCGCTGGCGGGTACCTGAAAAACCTTTCTTTTCTTCTTTTATCTCCTTTCTTTTTCTCTGTTTATTTAGTTCTGTGCTCAGAATCAGATTCTGGGCAGAAATGATTCTTTTTTATTCTGTGTCCGGAAATGATTTCTAAGCATTTAAAGGCATTTGGTAACTGCCCAAAATTTCTGTTCTTAGAATAGAAAAAGAATTGAAATGCGTTTGGTAACTACACAAAATTTTTTTTTATTAATAATATTTTAAATTTTTTAATACTTATTTCTTTTTTTTCCCTTTATTTCTTTTTTTTTTCTTTCTTGCCCCTTCCTTTCTTGGCCATGGCCCGGGCAGGCAGCGGCCCATCGCCACAACGCCGGCGGCGAGGGCATCGCGGCCCTCGCCGGGTGGCGACAGGCGAGGTCGGCCTCGCCTTGGGCCGGGCAAGGCTCGACCTCGCCTAGATCTAGCAAGGCCAACCTCGTCGTTGCCACCCAGGTCTGTCGCCTGGGTGGCGACGGCGAGGGGGACCCTCGCCAGCCACAGGTGAGGGCCGCGACGCCCTCGCCAGCCCTGGCCTATGGCCGGTCGCCTGCGGTCGGTGGCCGATGGGTTGTCGGGTCGAAGAACAACAATAACCAAAAAAAAGAAAAAAATCAAGAAGAATCAGTTTTGAAAAAATTGTTCCAGAATCAAGAAGCTGTTTTTTCTATATTCTTGATTCTGTTACAAAACTGATTCCGGGCATAATTTTTTGCAAAATTATGTCCGGACACAAAAAATTTAGCAAACGGATTTCTGTTATCAAACTGACTCTGAAAATAAAATAACAGAATCAGTCGCTATTTGATAAGTTGCCAAACAGCCCTATGTCGAAACTGCACTTTCCTCTTTACTGCTTTTATCTCTCGTGGTCTTCTTTTTCTATTTTTTTTTTTTGCCCACACTTTTTGACCGAGTCAAAGTCCTCGTATTACATCAGCCATGCCCCTTGAATGGGCGAAGGCCAAAATGGTGAAGAGCCCCAGAGCAAAGGAGAGAGCTCATTCTGAAATTCAGCAAGTTCTTTGAGGAAAAGAGGGGATCGACGAGCAAGGCATCCAGCAACTACACTACTTTAGATTAATCTTAAAAGAAACTCTACGCTTGCATCCTCCTATTCCCTTCATCACGAGAGAGTTAAGGGACAAATGTGCAGTCTCCCGCATATGAGATACGGCCAAAAACTATAGTCATCATCAATGCGTGGGCACTTAGAAGAGATCCTGATAAATGGAATGATGCTGAATGATTTCTATCAGAGAGATTTGGAAAACTCTTCAGTTACCTACAAAGGGACTAACTTCGGATACATTCCATCTGGAGCAGGTAGAAGGATGTGTCCCGGCATATTATTTGGTCTTGCCAATATTGAACTTCCGCTTGCTCAATTGCTCTGCCACTTTGATTGGAAACCACAAGAGTTTGACATTTGGAGCTACAGCTCGGAAAAAGAATGAATTGAACTTAATTGCCATCCTATAACGTTTCATCCCAAAGCATTGAGAGTTATGCACTCCATATCCTTGTGAAAGAAAGATTTTTCCACTGAGACATTACTGATATAATAGAACACCTCTTACTGCGAGTAGGGCTATTCTTTCTTCCCTGCAAGTCGGCAAAGTGCAAGAGCATGATACCAACGTACTGAAGCCATACTTGGATGCACTGAATGAATGCGAATCAACGCACCTCAGTCCTTAGATCACGTGAATCTTGCTAGAGGCTATTTGTGAGACCAATCTAACTCAACGCAAAGTCTACTCCCTCAATCCTCATCCTTACGAAAGATATCACTATCGCGACTTTTTGCTAGGGTTAGAGAAAAAAACGCACATATGTTTAAGTCAAGGTCATCGAGGACTTTTCGGTGTATCGAGAACATCAATTCGAGTCTCGCCTAGTACTTTTCTTGGTCCACACTTAGAGCTGTTTACGGAAACGAAAAATTCCAGCTGATTATTTTGGCTGGCATGAAGATGAAGACTTCTGTATTTCACAGGAAACTGCCGTGGGACCATGAAGAAGAATAAAAGACGGAAAGATCAAAGGAGAGGACCTACCCAGTAGCCACAAGTTTCTTTTAGAGTTTTAGCGGACGAATTTGTTAGGACAAATTGAAAATCAAGAAGTGCTAAACCCGACATTTTGAACTTAACCTTAAATTAAACATGCCAAAAACCTGATGTTTTTGGAAATAACTTAGAAAACCAACCTTGTTCATCCTTTTTGAAAGACTCAATTGATAATTACACTCCAACTAAACCGTTACTCTAAATGATAAAAGCCTCCATTACATTCCACGACCAAAATAGATTTCTGTCAAATTCCACGCTCCACAACGTCCTAATCTATCATTTGCATGTAATTCCACAGCTTAACAACTCCTAAATCAGATCCCCTAGCTCAAATATCACATAACTTCGAATTGATGACCTAACTCCGATAATAGATGAACAAAAGGCTTGAATTCTTACTAACCTTGGCTTGGTGAGGTCTGCATAGCGTGAACATGAGAAATCTTTGTTTTCTTCCCTCTCCTTTCTCTATTTCTTCTCTCTGTTCATTGGACCAAGCTGTGCTTTTCCTCTTTCTTTCTTGGGTTAATACCACGAAAAATCCTAAATTGGTACACCTGATACAAATTTACCAAAAACTAATTTTTTGACCACCAAAAATCCAAATCTAGTACGTTTGTGACAAATTTACCTTCTGTTAAACTGGATTAATATCACAAAAAATCACAAACTGATACACCTATGACAAACGGAGAGTAAAACCCCGAACTAGTACACACGTCAACCGTCATGTGTCATCTAACTTAGAAATTTGATGGTAAAATTAAACGAAAACTAAGGCTCCGTTCGTTTGGCGGAAAATATTCTCCCGGAAAATATTTTTCGGGTTTTCCGGTGTTCGGGGGGCGGAAAACATTTTCTGTGGGAAAATATTTTCCTTCCCCCCCTCACAAAATAGCCTAAGTCTACGGAAAATGACTTCCGCTTCTTCAAAAGCGGAAATCATTTTCCAGAGCTTCTTCTTCTTCTTCTTCACTAAGGTCGCGGCCGCCGCCAGCTGCGCCGCTGCAGCCGCTGCCGGCGCGCCGCCGGTCCACGGCCGTCGGCCGCCGGCTGCCGGACGCCGCGCGCCGCCGGACGTTGGCCGTCGGTGCCGTGTGCCCGCCGCGCGGTCGCGGCCACTGTCGCTGCCGGCTGGTCGCCGCGCCCGCCGCCGGCGAAAAATATTTTCCGAAACTTTTTCATATTGGTCGCCGAACACCGAAAATTATGTTCTAGGAAAATATTTTCCAAAAGAAGAATATTTTCCGCCAAACGAACGGAGCCTAACATGTAAATGAAATTGTCACATGTGTTGACGTTAATTTTTGGTGATCAAAAAATTAATTTAGAATAAATTTATCATAAATATACCAGTTTGAATTTTTTTTAATATTGATCATTCTTTCTTTTATCCATCGTGGTCTTCCTTTCCCTTTTTTTTTGGCCCACACTTTTGACCGAGTCAAAGTCCTCACGTCACGCGAGAAATCTTTGTTTTCTTCCCTCTCATTTCTTTCTTTCTTTCCTCTGTTCACTGGACCAAGCTGCACTTTCCTCTTTCTTTCTTTTATCTCTCGTGGTCTTCTTTTTCTTTCTGTTTTTGGCCCACACAGACAGTAGGATTGTTGATTAAAATCAACTCACTGCGTTAGAGTAAAGCATGAGAACGACATCGGAGAAGAACTTGTCTATATAACTAACATCTTCATCATCAGGCCTCATGTACACTCGAGTTGGCAGAGTGAGTTTGAGAGTAGCACTAGATTTGCTAAGGTAACCATGGAAAAAGAGTCATTTCACTTCAACTATATGATACTCTTGCTTACTCTTGTTGCTTCACACTCTCTTGCTTCAACCCTACCACGTTGCCATGAAGACGAGAGATCTGCGCTGTTGGAGTTCAAGGCAACCTTCTTCACCAGACAGCCTTGGTGCTGTTACAGCGTCACTTCAGATGAGCGACCAAAAATTGAATCCTGGAATGCATCAACAGGGAAAACTCAAAGCGACTGCTGTTTTTGGGCTGGTGTTGAGTGTGATAAGGTAAGCGGTCACGTGATCGGCCTCGACCTCAGTTGTAGTTGTCTCTCCGGTAAAATCAACTCCAACACCAGTATTTTGCGTCTTCTTCGCCTAAGATGCCTTAACCTTGGCTTCAATGACTTCTTTTGTCATATTCCTCCGGCAATTGGAAATCTTGGTTCCTTGACTGACTTGAACTTCTCCGGCTCCTACTTCATGGGCCACATCCCACGTTCGCTCGGTAACTTGACCCGACTTGTCCATCTAGACTTGAGTGACAATTTACTAAATGGTACGATTGCATCTTCTTTTGGCAACATCTTCAAACTGGAGTATTTGAGTCTATCCTTCAACGAATTTGGAGGTAAAATCCCATCTTTTTTTGGACGTCTTGGTCACCTGAAGCATTTAGATCTAAGCGGCAATTCTTTAACGGGTGAAGTTCCATCTTTCTTGGCAAATCTGGTCCAGCTTAAGTATTTAAGTCTAGGAGCCAATATGTTAATTGGGCAAATTCCATCCTCTCTCGGGAACCTCGTCCAACTTACTAGTTTAGATTTAATGTTTAATCAATTAACAGGCGAAATCCCGTCTTCCATTGGAAATCTAGTTCAACTTGTCAATATAGATCTTGGATATAATCTATTAGCGGGTGAGATTCCTCTCTCTTTCCAAAACCTCCAGGAGCTTAGGTGCTTAACACTTGCGTCAAATCGATTAAGTGGTGAAATTCCATCCTCGCTGGGGAGACTCACCCAGTTGATCGACGTTCACCTTTCATTCAACCAATTCCATGGTGCAATTCCAAGCACGATTTTCCAATTACAGGGTCTCAGCACTCTTTATTTGAATTCAAATAACTTGAGTGGCACAGTGAAGTTAGATAAGTTTTCAGAGGCTAAAAACCTTCGAGAACTTGTGTTATCCTCTAACAAACTGTCATTGATCGTCGAAACCAACATAACTCACCGGTACTTGGTTCTAGGTTTAGGTTCATGCAACTTAAATAGTTTCCCTGAGTTTCTACAAGAACAAAATGATTTGCATTTGCTAGATCTATCCGACAATAACATTTCCGGTCAAGTTCCTAAATGGTTTCTGAATGTGAGCACAGAAAACCTCTATAGATTGAACCTCTCTGGCAACTTCCTAACAAGTTTTGCTCAAGATCCCGTTATTTTCAAGTGGAAAGAACTCTTTGTAGCAGATCTCGGTTTCAACGAGTTGCAAGGATCAGTTCCTATTCCCCCTCTTGAAATCCAGCACTACTTCATGTCAAATAACAGGCTCTCTGGAGGAATATCGCCACTCATATGCAATCTAAGCATTATAGAGATGCTCGATTTGTCTGATAATAATCTGACTGGGTTTCTTCCACAATGTTTGAGTAATTTGAGTGGTACTTTGGAAGTAATAAGTCTACAGAGCAACAACTTTATTGGAAAAATTCCTCAGTTGCATGGGAGCTTCTATATGATTGATCTAAGTTACAATAAATTGCAAGGGCCACTGCCAAGATCACTCCGCAAGTGTAACAACTTGCAATTCCTTAATTTCGCAAACAATCAGATTAAAGATGTTTTCCCTTCATGGTTGGGCTCACTTCCAGGATTGAAGGTACTTATATTGCGGTATAATAGATTTCATGGATTTATTGGGGAACCGGCTGATAGAATTGAGTTCCCTACGCTGCAAATCATTGACCTATCTCATAACAGCTTTTTTGGTAGCTTGCCGTCCAAATACTTCAAGCATTGGATTGCCATGAAAGTTTCTGAGACAGATTCGTCAGGCTACATTGGACATAGCAATGGGTCGGTCTGGGATTTCTCTCCATTCGTAACCTTTGACTACTCTATGAGGGTAATTGTCAAAGGCATCCAGACGAATTACTCAAAGATCCAAGAATACCTCACATTGATTGATCTCTCGAGCAACAACTTCAGCGGAGCGATCCCCGAGACCATCGGAAGCCTAAAGCAACTAGAATTGCTCAACCTTTCCAACAACATGCTCTCCGGTCCCCTACCTCCATTCTTGGCAAACCTAACGAATTTGGAAGCATTGGACCTTTCTCAGAACCAGCTCTCCAGAGAGATCCCTCAGGAGTTGACGCAACTCACTTCGCTTGCAGTCTTCAACGTATCTTATAACCGTCTAACTGGGCCTATACCCCAATCACGGCAGTTTTCTACATTCGAAAACAACTCCTACAAGGGAAACTCGGGGCTATGTGGCACTCCTCTGTCTAGAAAATGCGGAGATCCCAAAGCGTCACCGCCATCATCTCCAACGTCTGAAGAAGATCCAGATTATGGAAGTGCAATGAAATTAGACTGGAAGATCGTGTGCATGGGGTATGCAAGTGGGTTAGTGATTGGAGTGGTCCTCGGGAGCAGCTTGATCACAAGAAGAAGAGCTCATAGCCTTGTGAAGAACTTTGGCAGAAGAAAACAAAGGCGAAGAAGGTAGAAGAGATGGTCCGAAACCAAGGAATACTCAACCGAAATCTTTCATCTTCTGTGTTTGAGTACCTGTAACTTTCTCTTAAGTTTTTCTCTTTTAGATATTAACTAGTCCATATGCATTTTGAATAAAGCATTCTGTAATCATACATGTGTTGGAGGACACAAATGAGAAACGTCTATAAATAACAAAAAGGTCGGGTAGAATGAAACTTTTGAGCCACGTTACGTTATCACTAAACTCTGTTCCTTCCACTTCCTTTCATAAAACCATAAATTTTTACACCAATATGTTAAAAAGAAACTTAATTTTTCTGTTTAACTAACATTTATATCCCTAAAAAAAATTCTTGAAAGTGATTCACGTAATATGTAAAAGGGTTATTATTAATTGATAATATGTGTTGAATAATAAGCAATCATTTAATTAAATATATTGGCTCATAAAAAATACAAAATGTGAAATCTTTTAATAAAGAAGATTAACAAACATACATTCCTATTTCTTATATGTGTTGGTCAAAGAGTACGCAATAAAAATATACAATAACACAAAATTCAACAATACCACTTTAAAACAACTATATGTATCATCATAATTAGATTTCACAACCAAATTGATGTAACGCTTTCACGAAGCATTTCACATTTTTAATTTGTTTCAGAAAGCAATTACTAAACTAAATTAACATTTCTTTAAATATGAAAAGCAATGCAAATCACAATGCGAATCCTAGAAATGAAAATGTAGTCAATGTCCGATCCAAGATTCTTTAAAACAAATGCTCCAGACAGTTTCACTTTCTTTCCAAAATACCATGTCATGCCATGCTTATCTTATACTAGTCGGCGTTTTGCTTACTTAGCGTTGAGGCTGATTCACCAATAGAGAAGGCAGGTTGGCCTAGATTGGGAGATAGGAGATTGAGGTCCTGGGATAGGAGTCCGCAACAGAAGCTGAGTGGATTTCAGGGCGTTACACTGGCCAAGTACCAGAATGGTTCTTAGATGTGAGTAAAGAGAAGCTATTGGTTCTGAACTTTTCTATTAACTTCCTAATGGGCTTTTTGCAACCCCTTGATGTTTTCAAATGGAGAGCGATTAAGACTTTAGACCGCAGCTCCAACAAGCAGCAAGGACCGCCTGAAGTCTTCCTGACAACCGTCTTGCACTATCTTGTGTCGTATAACGGACTCTCTGGACAAGTTTCGCCGTCATTTGCGAATTGAGCTCCATACGTGTCCTCGATTTGTCTTGCAACGCCGTAACCGGTGTACTACCACCAATGTTTGAGCAATCTGAGTGACACTTTGGAAGTGATTAGCCTATGAAGCAACTTCCAAGGAAGAATTCCTCAAGTCAAGAAAACGAGTGTGTAATTGATGATGATTGATTTCAGTTATAATCAATTCTGTTTTTTTTTTGGTCGAACGGTTATAATCAATTCAAGGGCCATTAATCATTACCTGGGGCACTCGCAGGATGTGAAGAGTAGGAGTTCCTAAATGTGCAAGATGACCAAATCATTTATACTTTTCCATCCTGGTTGGGCTCACTTGTCGTCGTGCTGATCTTGCAAGCTAACAGATTCCACGGGGTGATTGGGGAACTTGGGAGTAACTATAGTTTCCCGAGGCTTCATATCATCGACCTATCCCAAAACAATTGCCGGTAGCTTGCCATCAAAGTACTTTGAGCGTCGGACCGCCATGAAAGTTGCAGCGGTAGATTAAATGGACTATTTTGGACTACCCAGATCCGTAAATCATAAATCCCATCGAGAACCTCTCTCACAGGTTCTGCCCCGATACCTCACCCTTCGACTTGTTGAAATACATGTATGAGTTATGTTAGAAAAGTTCTACATCGGAAAATTGATGTGGTATTGAGCAATTAATATATCCTAATTGGCCCATAATTCATTTGCTTAAGTTTTTGAGTGAAGGTGGGTCTAACTTGATATATTGACGCGCTCGAACTTGGGCTCTCTCTTAGCGATCTCCCTAAGTGAAGGTATAGGGCTTTTAGTACGCACTTCCAATAATTGGTATCAGAGTCGATGGTTGATTGGTAGGCCTCCAATCTGTCATGATGTTTGGTGAATATCTTAAGAAAATAATTTTATACGATGAACACTTGTTTCGAGTGGAAATTTATTCCCTTCCACATTAATTACTTAGAAACCATTATATTTTTCACAAATCATATAAAATACACTTAATCTTTCTCATTATCTGACATTGATATCACTAAAAAAAATATTTAATTTCATAAAGGGGTCGGTACTTAATTAATTATATATGTGGAGTAATAAGCAATTATTTAATTTCACATATTGCGGCATAAAAGTAGAAAATGTGACATCTTTTAATATAGAAGATAAAGAAACATACATTCCTATTTCTTACATGTGTTGGTTAAAGAGTTTGCGACATAAATGTAGAATGGCTCAAAGTCCAACAATACTGCTTTCAAATAACCATATGGACCGTCATAACTCATTGTATAATCAGAGTTCACAAGCCAAATCACTTATCACATTTGCGAAGCATTTCACATTTTCAATCCGTTTCAGAAAGCAATTATCAAACTAAGTTCACATTACTTTAAATATGAAAAGCAACACAAATCACAATGTTGAAAACGTAGTCAATGTATGATCCAGGTTCTACACAACAAATGCTCCGAACACTTTCGTGCTTCTTCCGAAAACCGTGTCATCCCATGCTTATCTTATATACTCATCGTTGAGACTAGTTCACCAATAGTATTGGCCGATTGCCCAAGATTTGGGAGATAGGAGATCGAGGTCCTGGGACAGGAGTGCACATCAGAAGCTTCGTGGATTTCAGGGCTTACACTGGCCAAGTACTCGAATGGTTCTTAGACGTGAATTAAGAGAAGCTATTGGTTCAGAACCTTTCTACCAACTCCCTGACGGGCTTTCCGCAACGCCCTGATGTTTTCAAATAGACAATGCTCCAGACCCTACACCTTAGCTTCAACAAGCTGCAAGGACCGCTTTAACTCCCCCCTACAACCGTCTTGCAACATCTTGTCTCGAATTACAGACTCTCTGGACAAGTTTCGCTGTCAATTTTCCTAATTGAGCTCCATACATGCCCTCGATTTGTCTTACAACGACTTGATCGGTGCACTCCCACCAATGTTCGAGCATTCTGAGTAAACACTCTCGAAGTGATTAGCCTATGAAGCAACAACTTCCAAGGGAGAATTCCTCAAGTCAAGAAAACGAGTGTGCAATTGATGCTGATTGAATTCAGTAATAATCAATTCCAAGGGCCATTACCCTGGCACTTGCAGGCTGTGAAGTGTAGGAGTTCCTAAATGACCAAATCAATGATAACAGATTCCGCGGGGTGATTTGGGGAACTTATAAGCAACTCTAGTTTCCCGAGGCTTCAAATCATCGACCTATCCCAGAACAATTGCCGGTAGCTTGCCATCTAAGTACTTTGAGCGTTGGACTGCCATGAAAGTTGCAGCGGTAGATCAAGCGGACTATTTTGGACTACACAGATATGTAAATCATAAATCGCATCAAGAACCTCTGTCACAGGTTCTGCCCACGATACACGCCCTTCGACTACTCTGTGATAATGACCAACAAAGGCTCCCGCAACTAAAGTAATCAAGGATCTACGATTCGCTCACATTCATCGATCTTTCAAGCAACAGTTTCACAATAGACACGGTGGGCATTGTGTCAGCATTTCCAAGTGTGAACACGTGACCTTGAAGTTACTCCAAATTATAAGAGCCTTCATTACATTCCAAGACCATAAAAGATTTCTGTCAAATTTCACGCTCCACAATATCCTAATCTATCGTGTTCATGTAATTTAACAGCTTCACATCTCCTAAATCGAATCTCGCAATTCAACATCACATAGCTTCAAATTTATGACCCAACTCCAATAATTACTCTGATTTTATGAACAAAAGACTTGAATTTTACGGGTGTTACAAAACGAAGTTAATCCAACTTGAAATCTCTGTGGCGTGTACGGGAAAAACCTTATATTTCTTCGTTTATCTCCTTCCTTTCTTTCTTTTCTCTGTTCACTGGACGAAGCTGCACTTTCCTCTTTCTTTCATCTCTCGTGGTCTTCTTTTTCTTTTTTTCTTTTTTGCCAACACTTTTTGACCGAGTCTAAGGCTGCGTTTGGGAACACTTTGGGGGAAAGTCTTTGGAAAAATGTAAAGAACTTTAAGTTGAAGGATTTTAATAAAATGCAAATTGTGTTTGGTAAATTGTAACTTAAAAGTCCATTGCAAAGTAACTTTGGGTAAAATAGTATTCGGAAAAATTATACTTGCAAGGCACTTTTTTTCATTTTTTTTTTATGAAAAGTTGAAACCCTTCGCCGGAGCTGGTGAAGGGCAGGCGGCCGCCGACGACCCAGATTTGGTGCCGGTGGCTGTCGTCTGTGGTCGAAAGACCTCAGACGATGGCCGCGCAGCGCCAGATTTGGGTCGCTAGTGGCCCTCAAAGGTCATCTAGGTCGCGCGACCTCAGGCGGCCCTCGCTTGGGTCGCGTGGCCCCTCACGGTGGTCTTGCGAGCCTAGGCGACGGTCGCTGGGTTGCACGACCACGCCGGCCCCCCTCCGGCCGGTCGACGTCCCCTCATAGCCACGCCTGCCGAGGTGTAAGCGAAGAAGATGATGAACAATGACAGACGAAGCCAAAACCGGAAAATCAAAAAGTAGATGAGGGTAGTTTCGGAAGAAATTTTTTTTACTTATCTGGGAGACTTGCATGCCGAGAAAGCTGAAAGCCCAAGGCAGCCTAGGACCTACCTTGGGCTTTCAGCCTTCACAAGGCTCACTTTTGCTGACGGGGAGTTTTTAAAATTGTTCCCAAACACCAAAATTTAGCCCAAGTAGCTTTGAATGCCCAAAGCCGCTTGGCAAAGCCAATTCCAAATGCACCCTAAGTCCTCGTATCACATCAGCCATGACCCTTGAAAGAGCGATGGCCAAAA